GGTGCAGTGCCTAAAGACCTTGGCCTGCACTTAAACACAATCAGCGCTGACAAAATTACCATCTGCCAACTGTAGAAGGCCACCTTACTGGGATCTGCACGCATTATTCGCTGATATATCACACAGTCCTAGACACTTGGAAATGTCCGACGTGTGATCCAATACAACAGCCAGCAGAGTGTCTGCTGTGGACTCATCCTGTTGTGTTTATAATCATAATAATAATTTGTAACATCTCCCTGGAGCAGTGTTTCTCAACCTTCCTAATGCCGAGACCCCTTGATGGTGACCCCCAACCATAACATTTTTGTTGCTACTTCATAACTGTAATTTTTATTTAGTTATGAATCGTAATGTAAATATCTGATATGCATGATGTATTTGCATTCCCTGGACCAAATTTGGCACAAATACTCAATACGCCAAAATTTGAATACTGGTGGGACTGGGGAGGGAATTGATTTTGTCATTTTGGAGTTGTAGTTGCTGGGATTTAAAGTTCACCTACAATCAAAGAGCATTCTGAACTCCACCAACTATGGGAATTGAATCAATCTTGGCACACAGAACTCCTATGAACAACAGAAAATACTGGGAGAGTTTGGTGGGCATTGCCATTGAGTTTTGGAGTTGTAGTTCACCTACATCCAGAGAACACTGTAGACTCAAATAATGATGGATCTAGACCAAACTTGGCACGAAAACTCAGTATGCCCAGATGTGAACACTGGTGGGGTTTGGAGGAAATAGACCTTGATATTTGGGAGTTGTAATAGCTGGGATTTATAGTTGACCTACAATCAAAGAGCACTCTGAACCCAGCCCGCAATGGATCTGCACCAAATTTGCACACTACCTACATAGCCAGCAATGAATACTGGTTGGGTTGGGGCGGGGTGGTGGTGTCTGTGTTTGAATTCTGGGAGTTGTAGTTCACCAATACCGAAAAGGATAGTTGGAGAGATCTTCAGCCTTCTCTGCCAAAGGGGTTCTTAAGACCATCAGAATATGTGTCTTCTGATGGTCTTTGGCGTGACCCCTCCGAAACCCCCTCTCGCAACCCCCAGGTTGAGAAATACTGTCTTGGAGGGACTCGGGGCAGCTCACAAGAGATATAAAACTCTTTGTCTCCCAGACTTACTTGGCACAAACCCCGTGTAGAATGGCACCAAGCCGCTACTGGAGTAGATCTTGGTGTTGGGCCAGTAGGTATGTGGCAGCCGCTGGCCAAAGCAGTACATGGGGCTTCTCAGTATTTCCTGGGGAGAGACAACATTGGGGGGATACTTTACCTTTCTTTCATTGGGGAATAAGGGCATTCTGGGTTAAGTTAGAATTGGTAGGGAGTTCCGTAAGGTTCCCCCATCCAAATGACCACTAGTGGGTTCTGCCTATGACTAGGGAGCCTTCCCTGCCATCAGTTATCTATTGGGACACAGGCAAGCGGCACAGACATGAAAGCGCTTGGCTTCAGCATCGTCTTTACCTGATTTTTATCAAATTCATTCATGGCATCCTTGACTCCGTTCAGGTAATTGATGCCCATAATCCAGGTGAATCGAGGGATGAATCCCGTATACCCTGCGAAGGAGGAAGAGTGGCAGAAGTTCTGTCTTGGCAGGGAGGGGCAACTGTTTGGGGCCTTGGGAGCTGAGCCTCCACACATACAGTGTTCCCTCATTTATCACGGATGTTACGATCCAGGATCACCCGTGAAAAGTGAAAATCCGCGAAGTAGGGATGCTATATATATATATCGAGTAGGCTAGCTCTCTCTGCTTTGCAATCTTTCTTGATTGCCTGCCTCTCCAGGAGGCGGGATTAGAACACTGCTCTGGGCAATGGCAACCATTCATAAACTGGGAGGCAAAAACCCGCGAAACAGTCCACGAAAAGCGAACCGCAAAGTAGTGAGGGAACACTGTACACAAAATGATGGGACACTTCCTGCAGTTGACTATTTTTGGGGATTTCCCTCTGTTCTGCCTTGACTGCCTAGCTGCAGTGGATTTCCCCTCTAAGCGGAGTGAGGGGGCATGTGTGGGAGACCCGCAGGGGTTAGCCAAGGCTGAGCAAAGACATCCCACCTAGAGAACAAGGGCTACCAGTCCCAGCTGAGCTCTGAACGGGGAGTCATAGCGCTCTGACTGCAGTGAAAAAGGGCCAAGAAGGATAGAATGATGGCTGTTCTCTCTACCGACCTGAGATGGCTTTCCTCTGGATGAGGTTGGGTACGTCCATCCTGGGTGTCCGGCCAAAGCGCCTCACGTCCACGGTCTCCGTCACTGGCGGCAAAGGGGTGCCTTCGACCCTTATGGGCTAAATCCCCAGAGGGGCAAAGATAATAAAGAGGTCGGCAGGATGGTTGTGTCAGAAATATTTTAAAAATAAGTATTTTGAATTACAAAAATGTGAGTCAAGCACTGAAAGGGTTAAAAGGATGCAATATCTCAGCAAAAGCTGCAATCCAATATAAGCAGGTGTGCCTATAGCTTAGTACGCCTCAGTGTTAGTTGTCCTCAGTGTGAAGAGGCTTCAGTCTGTTAGTAGGCCTCAGTATGAGAAGGTCTCGGTGTTAGTTTGTCTCAGTGTGAGAACAGTGTGGAACGCCTCAGCAAGCGAGAGTCCAAAAGTGGCAGGCTAAAATCCAGAACCTCAACCAGTGGCTGCTAACAAATTAGAGACTCTCTCCTGGCCACAGAGAAAACTGGGTGACTTGGAAGGTGCTGAACAGTCTGCGCTCTGGCACCACGAGATACAGAGCCAACCTTAAGAAATGGGGCTACAAAGTGGAGTCCACGACATGCGAGTGTGGAGAAGGGCGAACCACAGACCACCTACTACAATGCAACCTGAGCCCTGCCATATGCACAATAAAGTGTGAGAGAGGTGTCAATCTGAGGTAGCCCTCAGTGTGTGAGAAAACCTCAGTGGGAGAAAGGCCTCAGTAGTTAGTAGGCCTCAATTTGAGAAGGCCTAGTGTGAGAAGCTTCGGTGAGAGAAGCCCCACTACAATGCAACCTGAACCCTGCCACATGCACAATTGAGGAGCTTCATATAACAACACTATAGGCACTTCAAGTGGCCAGCTACTGGTCAAAGGACATTTAATAGAATGCCAAGTTTTGCAAACTTTGTGTATGTGTGTTTTAAATACAACTGTTTAGTTCACTCCTGATACGATAAATAAAGTGTGAGAGAGGTGTCAGTCTGAGGTAGCCCTCGGTGTGTGAGAAAACCTCAGTGGGAGAAAGGCCTCAGTAGTTAGTAGGCCTCAATTTGAGAAGGCCTGGTGTGAGAAGCATTGGTGAGAGAAGCCCCAGGTTCAAGACCATCGTGTGTGAAGGCTGCTGCGTGTAAAAAGCGACTGTGAAGCTCCTGTGTAGCTTCAGTGTGAGAAGAGCCTCTGTGAGAGCGAAGCTGTTTATCTGCATGAGAAAGAAGCCCAGCATGGAAGCAAAGAAGGAAGTATAAAGAACTTTGTTTGGGTCATGGAAACCTTGTTTTTGTTTATAGTGCAAAAATTGAAAGAATGCTGGACCAGAGAGGCCTCTGCCCTAATCCAGTTTGTGTGAATTTAAATACTTGTGGGGCATGATGGTGTAGAAGGATGGCCCAAAACAGGGTGCCTGCACGCACTTGCTCCCTGCCGGCGACACATGGGGTGGCCCTCCATCCCTGGCCGCACACAAGGGACATCCCAGCGTCACAGGGCCCGCCGGCCTCCTCCTTCCCGCAGACCAGGGCCACGTCTGGGTGGCAGATTGCCTTCCGGTCGCCTTGCCCCGAGACCAGCCGCGAGCCGGCCGTGGCTGCAAACTGCCTCCAGCCAGGACCACAGGCCAAGCGGATGCCAGGGTGGCAGGGGCTGTACTTCCTCTGCTCCAGGAGCTGCGCCGAGTCCGGGTCCATCCACCTTTGGGGCTCAGGCCTTGGAATAGGAGGCCAGTTCTCTTTGCCAGGGATGGGGACGCAGCTGTGGTGGGGCACAAAGCCTGTGGGAGAGAGAGAGTATAGAATAGAAAGGAACAGCCAAGCTGGATCAAAAACCCAGCTTGGCAACTGTGTGAGTTTACTTGAAAACCAACCTGGCAAGTAAAGGCAGTATCCGAGTTACAAACATCCAACTTACAAACGACTCCAAGTTAAAGATGGGGCTGAGACAACAGGAAGTCAGAGAATCTACCCGTAAGAAGGGAAATTCATTGGTGCATGCAAGAAATCAGTTAGTGTGTGTGTGTCAACTGTAAAATAAGATGCATGAAGCTGATTGTTGGGCTATGTCTGGGGAAATGGCTGAGCCTGGGACTTTTGAATACTGTTACATTATTAGGCTTCAGCTATGCAGCAGCTAAGAGAGAAGCAAACAGAGAGATCAGATTTGTCTCCCACATGGACCATTTTGATTCTCTCTAAGGAAGTTGTGTGAGTCAATGCAACTGTTCACATAATTGTGTGTATATATGTGTGTGTGTGTGTGTTGCTCTGCATAACAAAGACTAATGTTTTTTTATTGATCATCTGCATGGCATATCTTTTCTCTGGCAAGAGAGTGTGTGGACTGATCAAACGTGGACTACGCATGATTTTCATTTTGTCACAAAATTCACCCCAGAAAGAGTCATTATCATGGAGAAAAGGTGTTTCCACTGAAGCTTTATCCTGATCCTTGTTTCCACAAGTCACATTCTTCAAATTCCAATAATCACAGGGACAAGAAATTAGATAGATAGACAGATAGATGGTAAAGGTTTTCCCCTGACATTAAGTCCAGTCATGTCCGACTCTGGGAGTTGGTTGCTCATCTCAATTTCTAAGCCAAAGAGCTGGCGTCATCCTTAGATACCTCCAAGGTCATGTGGCTGGCATGACTGCATGGAGCACCATTACCTTCCCGCTGGAGAGGTACCTTTTGATCTCACATTTGCATGTTTTCGAATTGCTAGGTTGGCAGAAGCTAGGGTTGATAGCAGAAGCTCACGCCGCTCCCCAGATCCGAACCTGTGACCTTTTGGTCAACAAGTTTAGCAGCTCAGCAGTTTAATCCACTGCACAGCCAGTGGCTCCAGACAAATAGATAGAGTTGCACTTTTTAAATGTCCCTCTTCTGATTTACAAACAAATTCAACTTAAGAACAAACCTACAGAACCTATGTTGTTCATAACTTGGGGAGACAGCAACCTTGAATATGTCCCTGAGCCCTTTTGGGGGAGAATTGCAAAAAGCTGTTGAGTACAATGGAAGGATCAGTAAGGAAACCACTTGCTTCTGTGGATATCATAGAACAACCTCTCCCCACATGTCATGAACAGAATTTGATCATTATCTATTAATGAAGAAGGGGGGGGGTCTGCTTTGTGGTGGCACCTGGCTGCCTTTGGAATGAGGCCAGTATTATGCCTTTCGTTTGGGACTGGAAGAAGGGGCAACAGGGACTTTTTTCTGGCTGGCCCACCTGTGTATCCGGGGATGTAGTTCTGATACTGATCCATGGGCTCCTGTGTGGGACGCGGCCGGCGGCTGAAGTCTTCAATGAACTTGGGCCGCAAGAGAGGGGTCAGCACGGAGTTGGGGCTCTTGTAGACCTCGGGGTCGGTCAGGATGTCGTTTGTTGTTCTGCCGTAGGTCTTGCCCACCTGGTAGCGGACCTGAGGGTAGAACCCGCTATATCTTGGGAGGAAAGGGAGGGGGCAGCATGAGGACAAGTAACAACACTGTAAGAATGATGCTTTGTAATAAATAGAGGAGCCAATCCCACCAATTTCACCACGTCTCTCTCGTTTGGGTTTTTGTTGGTCATTGGAAGACTGCAACCCCCAGAATCCCCGTGCGGAACAGCCCCTTGTCTCTGGCCAAAATCTCCCACTCCTGGGATGGCTTCAACTCACCCAGGGATGTAGTAGGGCTCCTGGGGGAAGAAGCTGCACCTCTGGGTCGTAGTCATGGTGGGTCAATGGTGCCGGATGGGGCACTCAAGTGGCCAGAGGGCAGGGGCTCAGCAGCAGCCTCCTGGTCTCCCGGGTGACCATTGTGAAGAAGCCCTGCCTCCCCTCCCTTTCCTCCCCAATATAGGGGGCAAGGATCTCACAGGTTGGGTTGTCTTCTCCAAAATGGGATCTTCCTGAGTCCTGTGGAACTCACTGCTGAGGGAAGCAAGGCCAATTCCTCCATTCTTTAGCCTCCCTTATTGTACTTCTCTCAGGAGGGCTTCCAACTCTCTGTGGATCTTTTGGCCTCAAATCGGAAACTTCAACTGATACAAAGGTAGGCGTCTAGACTGCTTCTGGAGGTGCGATATGGGGAAAGAACTACCCCACTCTTGAAGCAGCTACACTAGCTCCCAGTTAGTTTTCGGGCACAATTCAAGGTGCTAGCTTTAGCTATAAACCCCTAAACAGCGTACTTGAGGGATCGTATCTCCTATTAGCCCGCACAAGCCCTGAGATCATCAAGAGAGGCCCTTCTCTCAGTCCCACATTTCTCTCTTCTTTTTATTATTACAATCGGTTTCATATTGGTAATTCCTTTAAGTTTCTTTCATAAATTTCTGATATAAATTTCTTTGTTTTCTCCTTTTACAAATTCCAAAAATTATTTCCAGTCTGTTCTGTAAGATTTTGCTTTGTTGTGTGAATTTTTTGAGTAAGTATATCCATGTTCATGATGTCCATTACTTTCAAAATCCATTGTTCCACTGTAGGGATTTCTTTAGATCTCCATACTTTGGCCAAGCTCATTCTTGCAGTAGTTATTAAATAAAAAAAGATCTTATCCATATTCTTATCTACCTTAAAGTCCATAATCCCTAATAACAAGGATTCTGGTTTTGGATCGAATTTTATATGTAGGATAAGCTCAATCTTCTTGTGTATTTGGTGCCAAAAATTCTTTATTTTCTTGCATTTCCACCACCTCTGGATGTTTTTCACATTTTCAACATTCATCTTTTGTTTTACCCTTACTAATCTTTGATAGTATTTCTGGAGTTAAGTACCATCTATAAAATATTTTATACCAGTTCTCCTTAAGCTCTGT